GGCCTCGCCGACGGAGGGAATGGATCTGAGGCCACCTAAAATGCCTCCATCCCCCTCGCCCCAAGCGGCGGAGTACCCAAAGGATATCTCGGGCCCTGAGCCCCTGCGAACGCCGTCCCAGTCGCAGGCTCCATTTTAGCTTTCCGCAGCTTCTTTTCATTCACGCAAGGAAACCCCATCCAAGTTTTGGCTGCCTCTCTCCAAGCAATCCTAGCTGGTTACCTGCTCAGGTCCCTGAGGTCGGCTAGGCGGCAGGTCGGTGCTGAGACAAGCGATGCGGCAGCTGCTGAAAGCTGGTTGGCGGAGAAGGCGCGCTATCTGGCTGCTGGCACGCAAATCTCTCGACTAATTGCCTCTTTCGTTCCCGGTGCTTGGCGCACACTGAGCTATCTGCGCTCTCCGCTTCTCACTGTCTCCCTCTAGCTCCCGGCGCCTATTTAAACAGCCACCACCTCCGGTGGCCACGCCACATGGGCTGACAGTTTGCTTTTCGCTGCAGTCCAATGAGAGCTAGGGCTGGGCCTCCCGGCGCAGATCCTGGGGCGATGCCAGGCCCTGGCTCACGGGAGCTCCTCGCGATCACCGAGGGGGAGGAAGGGAGGCAAAGAGCAGCGCCACAGAAGGGCACGCGTCGTCCATACCCGAGCCGTCTGGATAGCGCAACGGTGCCAGGCAGGAACCGAGCCAAGGTGGAGCTACGACGCATCCCCGGGCGGATCCAGGCTGCCTGATGCGGCCCTTACCTCCCACCACTCGCGGCCTCTGGTAGCTCTGTCCCTGCAAAATGTCGCCGATACGGACAATATTATTGCTTGGACCTTAATCTGAAAAGAGGGGAAAAAACATCTGTGATAGTTATGGATAGATTACGTTTAGATATCCGCCTTTCCTTCGGGAGCGCAAGGCGGTATACTGTACCTCCTTCCCTGAATCTGCGAGGCAGGGGAGGCTAGGAAAGCCGGGCTGGTTGGGAAGTCCGGGTGAGGTTTTGGGATGTTGGGGGGGGGGG